CTCTAACAGAGATAAGGGGACTTGTCTGCAGTCATAAGACACTGTCCCAAGGACAGGACTTTGGAAGAGTCCTATTATCAATGAGTCAAATGGTCTGTGAATGATCGTGGGCGTTACTCACCCATTACAGGGATACTATGCCAGGGACAGGATGTAGGAAGATTTCTCTTATCAAATGGGCCAAAGTGGTCTGTTATGTCTGTGGGTGTGACTCACCCAGGCCCTCTGGAAGGGATTTTAGAAACAGGAAAAAGCAGTCAGACTTCTGTCCTCACATGGCACCATGCTCTCTTCTTCATGGCAAGTAATACAATTTTACATCAATTATGGGATTATGTCTAGTATCCCCATGAGGGAAAGGGACTGGTTCTGTTTTAGCATGCCACTGTATTTCTGTACCCCTACCCTAGATAGCACATTGCTCGACAAAGATGAAGTCAGATTATTACAGTAATAATAATATTCGTTAAGTACCACATCCACCCAATTTAAATCACATAATAATACATGAGGAAGGTAATTAATATTTGGAGAGTAAAAATATAAAGAAACTCAGTTCTCCAAAGACATATAATTCGAAAGTGTTTGAGTTGGATTTGAACCCAGGTACTTGCAGTTCACATCACTAAATATCTTCAAGAATTTAGCAACACCGTATGCTTCCTCCAACAGCATATATATAGCATATATACTCTGTATCTATTTATATATCCACACTGTATATGTATATAAACATATATGAGGTAGAGATAAACAGTGTGACTGGAAGCAATTCCTTGTCTGTTCACTAGCATGACAGTCTGAGGAGCTCAGTGCCCTGTGAAATGTGGAGGAATTGGGGGACTGTGTCACACACACACACACACACACACACACACATGGTTTGTGTTATTATATTTAATATATATTATTGTAAGTAATGGAAATAGTAACATTGATGCTGGAATCAACTATGTACACAGATACACACGCTCAAGGTCCCCAAAACTCTCTACCCCCTTGTGAGGATGGCAAACAACCTTAACCTGAGTGTGGGCGGGGGATAACACTGAGGCGTTTCCTGAGGTGGTCCCTGAGGAACTGACTGATGAGAAATGATTGGAACTGGGACGGAAGTGCACAGCTGAAGAAGAGGCAAGAGAAAAGTCAACTGCAGGGAAGAAGAAAAAGAACCCCAAGCAAATTCACAGTGAAGGATTTAGCAGGAGCTCTTGCAGACCTCAACAAGCTTCTAAAAAGCATGAAAACATGGATTGCAACCCCAGAAGTTTCCATAACAGGAATACCCATGGTACGTTATCTGCTTAAAGCAGAACTGTGATGAAAAAAGAAACAAACCGAGAAAACCACGGTGGACATATTTCTGAAGAGTGACTCCTCAAGAGGAGCCCAGACAGGTCCCTCAGCAGTGTTCCAGAAGAAAGCCTCGCCATCACAGGAGATGACAGCTCCATGTTAGTGCCCTGGGAGACCTGCAGGGCAGCAGGAAGTGGAAGTGGTAGACAGTGACACTGATGATCCTGACCCTGCGTGGGCCTAGCCTGCGTGTGTTGGTGTCTTAGTTTTTAGTAAGAAAGTTTATAAAGTAAAAAAAGTTAAAAATATAAAAATAGACAAAAGCTTATAGAACAAGTGCTTTAAGAAAAACTGTTTTAGTGTTATTAGCTAATGGCATAATGGATATGTTGCTGGACTCCCATGTAGTTGAATGTGGTTCGAGTCCCAGACTAGGCAGCTTAAAACTCACACCGGGTGCGTTTGTGTGTGTGTCCAGAAATCTGAGAGGAGAACAGAGAGAAAGAGATTGCAGCATGGCCATCCCCCCGGGGGTGGGGTGGGGTGGCGATTTCTCACTTTCTGTCTCTTGCTCTCTCTAGCAAGCTCATGTACCTTATAGCAAAAACCTCTCTCTCTCTCTTTTTTTTAAACCTCTCTCTTAAAAAAAAATAGGGACCAGCAATTGGCATAATGGCTATGTCGCTGGACTCCCATGTAGTCGAACACAGTTCAAGTCCTGGATCTGGTGGCTTAAATTTATGCAGGGTGAGTGTGCGTGTGTGCCAAAGATCCCGAGAGGAGAATGAAGGAGAAGGGATTGTGGTATGGTCATCCCCCCTGGGGGGCTGATTTCTCACTTTCTGTCTGTCTGTCTTTCTGGTGAGTGCACATGCCCTATAGCAAAAACCTCTCCAATAGAGAAAAAAAAGTTATTGTACAAATGTACAATGTGTTAATATTTTAAACCAAGTGTTAATATAGAAGAATTGAAAAGTTACAAAAAGAAGTTTATTAAGTAAAGAAATTATGGCATGGGGGTCAGCAGGTGGCATGGTGGTTAAGGCACTGGACTCCACATGGATGACCATGGTTTGAGTCCCAGACCTGGTGGCTTGCTTTCTCGCATTCCCTCTCTCTCTCATCTCATGAGTGCACATGCCTGTAGCAAATTAAAAAATAATGATAATGATAAATAATTAAATAATTATTTTTAAAAAGTTATAGTAAACTAAGATTAATTTACTATGGAAAAAAGAAAAAAGTCTTTAATCAGTTAGTGTAACCTAAATGTGTAGTTTCTATCGTTTAGTGGCACACAATGTGCCTGGCCTCCTCGTTCATTCCACGCTCACCCATTGACTCAACCAGAGCAACAGCCAGTCCTGCGAGCTCCACAGATAGTAAGTACCCTCTGCGGTGTTCCTTTCTTTGTTTAATTGTTTATGACATGTTTTCACTGTACATTTTCTTTGTTCAGGTACACAAATACCACATCACAGTTGCCTACAGTACTTGGCCCAGCGACAATGCTGTAGAGGCTTGTAGTCTAGGAGCAGCAGGCTGCACCACTCAGCCTCGGGGGTAGCAGGCTAGACCTTGGAGGCTTGTGCAGTACACTCTGTGATGTCAGCATGACGTCAGGCTTCCTGGTGTGCGTTTCTCAGGACGTATCCTTGTTGGTTAGTGACACTCGACTGTGTGTATATATACTTTCTATATATCGATTTTTCACCCCTTTGAGGGGCCAGCATGTAGCGTGGTAGTTAAGGTGCTAGACTCCCAAGTGGCTGATCGTGGTTCAAACCCCAGGCCCAGTGGCTTGAAAGTCATGCCAGGTGGGGTATGTGTGTGTGTGCTCAAGATTTCAGGAAGAGAATGGAAGAGAAGAGATTGTAGAGTGGCCATCACCCCTGAAGGGTGATTTCTCACTTTCCCTCTCACTGTCTATCTCTCTGGCAAGTGGATGTGCTATAAGGCAAAAATCTTTTATAAAAAAGAAGAGTTACTCCTCTTTCTCTGTATAATTTTTTCTTTTTCTGTTTAAATTTTTTTCTTTTCTTCTTTTCTTTTCCTTTCTTTCTTTTTTTTTTTTTTTTCTGAGAGAGATTGCCGTCCATGTCACTGTTAATGGCAGGTCATCTGCTGGGATTCCCAAGTCAGCTGATGCAGATCTGGAAGGCTGGAGGCATGGCTTGCCGAGTCTGAGTTACAGAAGGCCTCATTTTACATGACAAGTGCCAGTGTCTTGCAAGTGCGCTGAGGGCTCTTCACCATCACTGCACACACTTTCACTTGAACGCCAGGCCTGGAGGTCAAATATCACTTCTTTGAATCTCTGGTCTTTATTTTTTTATTTTATTTTTTTCCCATTTGACCCAAAGAGAAAGTGCTAGGGGGAAAACTCACAGTATTTTTTTTTATGATGGTTGCTATAATTATGTCTATCTCTACCTTGAGAAATGAAAGAAAATCCTTGGAAAATTAATTTGCTAAGGACTAATTTCTTTCTTTCTCAGAGGGTCCCCTATCGATATAGGGGGTTAAAGGTAGTCTGAACAAAACCGTCCCCTGGAGTCTGTGGACTCAGAAATTGCCTGTGTTTGATGTTTCAACAGGCAGCCTCTCTGGATGGTCCTACATTGATTCTGCATACAACTAAGCTTGACGTTGATTTGAGTACCTAATAAAAAGAATTACATAGCAGAAATTATATTTAGCCAGAAACACATTTCCTAATTAATTTGAAGACAAGAGGTAGCCATCTGCTTAACTTGATTCTGAGTGAACCTTTTCTTATTTGCAAAATTGGGAACATACTCTCACTTTACATTAAATATTTTAGTTATTATTATTATTATCTTTTAACATGCACTCACGAGAGAGAAAAAGAGAGAGAAAGAAAGCAAGTTGCCAGGTCTAGAACTTGAACCATGGTTCAGCACCTTAACCACCATGCCACCTGCTGGCGCCATGCAGTGACTCTGAGTGCCTGCACTGCTCCTGCATCCCAGTACCATGGCAGACGTCATTGCTGATCATGACATGCTGTTTCCCATTGAACCCAGGTGTCAGGATCCATCTCAACTCATTACCCCAGGCATCCTCAGCCATTATTTCTGTTCTCATCCCATGGAAAATGAGGCCAACTTATATACACACAAAATGTGTTTCTCAAATTGTATATTTTTCTTTATTGCTCATTTAATTTTTTTTAGAGAAATTTTTTGCTATAGGGTGTGTGTGCTCAACAGAGAAAGAGAGAGAGAGTGAGAGAAATCACCCTCCAGGGGAGATGGACATGCCACAGTGCCTTCTTCCCCATTCTCCTCTTGGGAGTTTTGGGCATGCCTGGCATGAGTTTTTAGCCACCGTATCTGGGACTCAAATCCTGGTCGGCCATGTGGAAGTCCACCACCTTAACCACTCCGCCACCTGCTGGCTCCCATTTATTTAGTTTTTAACTCTTTGATGTATACTATGCTGTTCTAAAATGGAGTAAAATACATAGCACTTTCCAAACTCACTTGACCAAGGAACCCCATTTAATGCAATACCCTTCCATGTGTTGCTTATAATACAACCTGGAACAGACTGCTCTGGTATCTTGCTTCTCCTGGGTTTTTCCATTTGAGGGTTATGATGATTGTGAGTGATCCTGGTGGCCTTCAATATTTTTAAATTATTGTTCTACCTTAGAATGATATAGATTTGATTCACATGCTTTAAGGCTGTGTGTAAGAGTCAGACAACAAGCCAGCCTAAAGCATCATACAGCATCATACAGCATTCACTCTTCAAAGAAGTACTTTTCTGCAAACTGTCTCCATTGGCCATTTACTCTGAGACAAGATATTTCAAGAACTTTCACCTCAGTTAAGCAGAGCGACCACATCCCAGTTTATGTCTGACTCTCCACTGTAATCATCAGTAGTACTCCATTTTATGAACCAAAGGGTCCTCTGGGTGATAAGTTGAATGATCTCCCATATTTAATTCTCAAACAACATATGCTACCATTGGTATTATTACCCCCCTTCAATCAGGGATGAGATGGGGTTCAGGGAGGGGCAAACACTTGCGTTGTTCATGCAGTGAGGCAGAGTTGAGACCTGGTTTACGCTAGGTCAGCCTCACTGCAAAGCTCCTGCTCTTGAGTACTGTACTGGTCATTGAAATGCATATCACTGAAAACCCACAGAATTATGTAAGCAGCATTATCAAATGCATTTTGAAGATGAGAATATTGAGAAATAATACCCTGCTGTTCATATGGTTAAATGTACTGTGGTTTGCTGTTCTGTGTGATATCCCTCCCTCTAAAGGTGAATGCTACAAATTAAGGTAGGCTAGCAAGCTTGGCTGCAGAAACGGCTGTGAGAAATGCCTCCTTCTCATCCTCTGCTAATCAGCTGGGACCCACTAAACAGCTTAGGATGCAAGTCTCTCTTCCCATATTTACCCCCTTAGGAAAGCAGTATGTGGTGAATTTCCAGGTAAGTTCAAGTTATTAAAGTCACACCCCCTGAGCATTATAAGAAGGAACTCAGATGAGCAAACACTTGGTGTCCAAGTGGGATGTCACAGTGAATCAAGGTGCAAGGTCATTCTCATTAGAAAATACTTCAAATAGTCTACAAATGAGAGGTTCCATTAATGGACTCTACTAATGCTGATTTATGAAAATGTATCAGACTCATCCATTCTTTTAAGTGTTTAATGAACCATTTAAGCTTAAGTCATATGCACTTGGAAATAAAAACAGTCACTTATGCTATTGGGTCATCGGAAAAGTCACAATGCATAGAAAAACAGAAAAAATACACCATGCCTTTCCTGACAAACCAATAGTTTGTGTTTTCCAGAAAGATGTCTGAAGGATCCTCAAAGGTCTGAGTTTGGGAACTTCAGAAACCAGGGAGAACACTGACAGAGTAAAACCATCTGGACTCTTCCACTAACCTCAGATGGGGATTGTCTTAGCTCGTTATTGCATTGCTTAGAGAAACCCCAGGGATTTCCATGTTCAAAAACTGTATAGTAACTGTTTTTATTTTAACAGCACAGTTTTAAGTGCTAATCTTTTTCTTTGTACTCTAGACTGGGCTGTCTCAACCCCAGCACCCTTGCTTTTCTGGACTGGATAAATTCCTTGCCTTGTGTATTGCAGGCTGTTTATCAGAATGCGAGGTCTCCACCCATCAGATGCTAGGAGCACCTCCTCTCTAAATCATGCCAATAAAAAAGTCTCCAGATATTGCCATATGTTGAGGGCAGGGAGAATAAAATTGTGCCCTGTAGGGATCAAGTGGTCTAGATCCTGTCTCTTTGTTATCTAGAAAATTGACTAAGTAGAAAATAAGGGAGCTAATATTAAAAATAAAACTCTTTGAATAACATTCAGTACCAGTTCAAATTTCTCAAGAAGTGAGAGTGTTGGTAACTCCAAGGAAGAGGAATGGCTCTTAGCTGAAGTTGGGACTAATGGCTTGGGAACATTCAGATTTGAAGAAGCAAAAATTGGAAGGATTTACCTAGCTGCTCCAGGTTTCAGATTCAAAATCTTCAGAAGATCTCCCATGTAGGTCTTCCCTTCTGGCAGAGGTTAGGGCTCTGTTAGAAATGCTCCCCAATCTGGGCTAGCAGATCACATCGTAGTTAAGGTGCTGGACTCCCATGTGACCAGCTGAAGTTCGAATCCTGGACCCAGCACCTTGAGACTCATACTCAGTGCCTGTACATGCATGCCCAAATCCCAAGATGAGAGTGGAGGAGAAGGGATTGTGATGTGGCCATACCCCCGGGTGGTGATTTCTTTCTCTGTCTCTCCAGCGAGTGCACGTGCCCTATAGCAAAACAATCTCCCTCTTTAAAAAAATAATGCTCCCAATTTTCATGGAGAATACAAGATTTCTATCTATTTCAGTCCCATGACCCTTTGTATCTATTTCCTGACCTCTTCTATAGCTAAGAAGCCTCTGTTATGTGGTTCAAATTTAATGAGCAGTAAAACATGTAAAAACATACAAGTTCATCTTTGAGCTTCATCTATAGGCTTCTCTCAGAGATGAGAGGGTACTGCTTCCCAAGGGAGCACTTGCAGTCAGGATCCTTCCTACGTTCGTATTGTCCTTCCTCCCTGTGTCTTCATCTCCCATCTCCTTTGTTCATACAACAGGTATAATAAGGGCCCCTTCTGACATTCGAGTCCGTCCTCCTCTAACCACCTTATCGCTGGCAGAGCCTACTCAGGACAGGAGCCACGGTAACGGAACTTTACTTCCAGATTTGTTTTCCTTATTTCTTTGTGATGCAGAGTAATAAGATATCAAGGGTCACCATGTCCAAGGAAAGGGGCTATTAAAGGAGCTTTTGGCCATGGTTCTAATTTTATCCTAGTTCATAAGGCTTGTCTTCAGAGTCCTAACTTTTAAAAAAAAAATATTTAATTCCATTTGTTGTTATTTTTTAATTTGACCAGAGAGAGACAGAGAGAAAAAGAAAGCAACAAAGCAAGCCACCAGGTCCTGGACTCAAAACTGCCGTCGGCCATGTGGGAATCCAGCTCCTCTAACCACCACACCACCGGCCTGCCCGTTGAGGTCCTAAGTTTAGATTTCCATTGTGTAAAAGACTTGGTTAATCTTCAGGCCTTCTTGCCCACTTCCACCCTTAACTGAGTCTCAGGTAAGACGTGATTTAATTTCATCATAATAAGAGAGCTGGTATTTTCACCATCAGTTTACATTTTAAAATAAGAGTAAAGCCAATGGTGAATTGTAGGCGTCAGTCTCAGCCCCGTAAGGAAGTCCTTACTTTAGAGGTGATAGATTCATTTGGATTTTATGGATCTAGAAAATGACAGGGAAGCAAGGCAGTCCATTTCCGTGCTCCTTTTCCTGACTGCACAGGATGGGATAGTCCTCAGAACTGGGGTTGGGAACCAGCAGTTAGCGTAATGGCTATGTCGCTGGATTCCCACGTAGTCGACCGCGGTTCGTGTCCCGGACCCGGTGGCTTAAAACTCACGCCGGGCGCGTGTGCATGTGTGCCCAAGATCCCGAGAGGAGAATGGAGGAGAAGGGATTGCGGCGTGACCATCCCCCCTGGGGGGGTGATTTCTCGCTTTCTGTCTCTATGTCTCTCTCTGTCTGTCTGGTGAGCGCACGCGCCCTACAGTGAAAATCTCTCCAAAAAAAAAAAAAAAAAAAGAATGGGTTCAGGGTGTGGAAAGCTATGCCATTTCTCGAAAACTTGAATATAAGATGGTGGGTTGAATTTCAAAATGTCATAGTCAAGGTGTCTTCTATTAGATGAGTCATGTTACTATATTATTTTATAAAATGAACTTCTTTGAGGGCCAGCTCCATAGCCCGGTGTTCAAGGGAGCCAGATCCCATGTGGTTGACTACCGTTTGAATCCCAGCCCCAGCAACTTGAAAAGCATTCCAGTGGATGTGCATGTGTGCCCCAGATCCCAACGGGATGGAGAAATGGAAAAGAAGGGACTGCGGTGTGACCTCCATCTCTCTGGTAAGTGCACTGGCCTCTGGAAACTAAAAAAAAAGGAACCTCTTTGAGCATTTTAATATTTACAGGAAATCTACAATAGATGTTTTGCATAATGACTTTAAACAGATATTTCTGTCATTGTTTAGAAGATAGAAAAAATTATATGTGTTTACTCTACAATATGGTCCCTAACAGTGAAATGGAGTTGATTTATTTTCTAAAAATTTTGGTAGACTTCTCTTTTTAATCTGGTAAGCAGAATTTAGTGGTTAATTCTCTTACATCTATTTTGAAAAGCCAGACATAGCTTTAAATATCCAATTTATTTGTAGCATTTATACATGGAAATCATAGTATGATAAAACAGCATTCTATTCCAAGCTAGTAAATTGCTTCTAAGAAAGAGGCTGAGAAAAATTGTAAGTTTATAAATGAAGAGTACAGGTTGTGGGAATGGATATTAACCAGAGATTCAGAAAATTAAATGAATAAAGTGGTCAGGGTGTATGCAGACAGGCTCCAGGCAAGGGAGGTTTGCGCGTACACGATGGATGCAATGACAGTAGTTAGCGCCTTAATGTGAGAAATCCAGGCAACGCACAACCACGCAGATGAAAAACTATACTCCCTGGATCTGTGTGTTCATGGCTTTGCAAAGCTTTGTGTCTCAAATAGACCCAGGAACTTTTCTACGCAGCATTTAACTTCTCCGCTTTTGTTTTCCTCTAATTTTCAAAACGGGAACTAGCTGCTTCAGTGCAAAGTGCGTTGTGCAGGGCAAGAATGTTCAAAGAATGCGAACATTGGTGTAGCCCACAGTTCTCCTACGTCGGTGGCCTCCTATTTTCATACTGATAGGCCCACCCCACCTGAAGCAGGGGTAAGGACACTGTGGCAGCAACAGTCCCCAGATTTAGTCTTGCTTCTTTCATAGTACAGGTTTTCCCTGGAGACCATGCAGGCAGTCCAAATGCAAGCTTGCTTCACCCAGAAAGCACGATGTCTGCAGATCCTTGAGTTTTATTATAATAGCCTGAAAATGAGATCACAGGAAATGTATTAGCGAACAACAGCGCTTGACTGAAATTGATTAGCTAGCACCAGCATAAATCCTTCTAAGGCACAATCACCTTTCGCTTGAAAAATGCACATGTTTATCTTTTCAGAAGACAATGAAATATTTAAATATTTCTGTTTCCTAGACAAATGATTACTTCAAGTCCTGAGCTTGCTTTAGGTTTTCTAAAACATATATACACACACACACACATATATATCTATCCCATTTATATATATGTGTATATATGTGTGTGTGTGTGTGTGTATATATAATATATATGTATGTATGTGTATATATATATATATGTATGTATGTGTGTGTATATATATATATATATACACACAATATATATATAATATTTTACCTTCTTTAATGATCTTTCTTGCAACAGAAACCAAATTCCTTTTCAATTTGGAGTCGAGCAGGAAGCTGAAAACCAACAAACACAAAAAACAAGAGATAACATTTTTTTCATTTCAAGACTGAACAAAGAAACATGATGAAGTCATAGCTATTCTTCATAGCCTTGGAAGAAACAGCATTGTAGAGGTACCTTGCAAGATAATCCTCTGTCTTTTAAAAAATTATTTAATTTAATTTATAATTGTTTTTTAATTTGACCAGAAAGAGACAGAGAGAAAGAAAAAAATTGAGGAAGCAAGCTGCCAGGTCTGAATTGTGGTCAGCCATGTGGGAGTCCAGTGCCTTAACTACCATGTCACCGGCTGACCCCAGACAATCCTCCATCTTAAAAGGAAATAGAATCATGAATCACTACAAAGTTTAACTGTGTCCAGGTCCTTGGATTCTAATTTTATATCCATTTTGAGGAAGAACAGCCTAAGTAAGCATTGGGTATTTGTTTTTTTCTTAACAAAAATTTTGCTCTCAAAAAATCATGTCATGGTCGTATAGCTTTTCGATCTTGTAGAATACAGAATACTGTTTTGTTTTTTTTTTGGGGGGGGGAGAGGTTATTGCTATAGGATGTGTGCACTCGCCTAAAAGAGACATAGAGATAGAAAGCAAGAAATCACCCTCCACGGGGGATGGCCACGCCGCAATCCTTTCTCCTCCATTCTCCTCTCGGTATCTTGGGCATGCATGCACACACGCCCAGCGTGAGTTTAAGCCACCGGGTCCGGGACTTGAACCATGGTCAACTACATGAGAGTCCAGTGACATAGCCATTATGCCAACTGCTGGTCCCTGAAGACTATTGTTTTAACAAAGATATTTTTGTAAGCCCCAGGGCCTTGGTGTACCCCACAATTCTACATTTAAGTAAGTCTGATGATGGTATACAGCTCTAGAGCTCGTGGGTGTGCCATGGAATGATCCAGAAATCCAAATACTAAATTAATTCTGAAGGGTGAGTGACTTTCATGATTACTTATGATGTATTTGAAATATAGAGAACGCAGTCCAGCAGGTGGCATGGTGGTTATGGTGCTGGACTCCCACATGGCTAATCGTGGTTTGGGTCCTGGACCTGGAAGCTTGAAAATCATGCTGGGCATGTGTGCATATGTACCCAAAATCCCAGGAGGAGAATGAATGAGAAGGGATTATGGCATGGTAATCTTTTGTAGGAGGTGGCAAAAACCTATCAAAAGGAAGAAAAAAAGAAAGAGAAATATAGAGAGCTTAAATGGTTATGAAAATTTGGAAAACTGATATTGGTTTATCATGTGAATTTACCAAGGATTCTACTTCTGGATTTTAGCAAGAAACCCAGCTGCCACAGGACCACACAAATGTTCCTACATCACATATGTAGAGAGTTGGAATAACATAATTTTTATGAAGAAAAATCTGTGGTCAGGACAGCATCAGTGTTGTCTTAAATTAGTCTTACTTTTCAATTCCTTTTCTGCTGTTCTTTTTTCATGTTAATTTTTAAGCTTCTCATGAGCAATTTATTTCCAGTTAATGGTATGATGCATATTTATATCAACACTATTTTGGGACTATATTTTTCCTGTAACCTTTTTTTTTCCCCTAAAGAATGATTTTATTTAACTTTACTTATTTATTTATTTTAATTTAACCAGTGAGGGACGGAGAGAGAGAGAGAAGGAAGAAAGCAGCTGCCAGGTACAGGACTTGAACCACAGTCAGCCATGTGGGATTCCAGTGCCCTTCACCACCACACCACCTGCCAGTCCCTCCTGTAACTAACCTTTAAGGACAATGTACATTGTGATTCAAATAAAGTCATGTTTCTATTGCTAAAACAGATACATTCATAATTCCTCAGATTCATTTGGTCTGTACATGTGGAATTCAGCCAAACTGTGACCTTGGTGGCTTTTCCTCTGGTTTCTTATGTGTTTTCTTCCAGAGAGTGCATTTCCCTAACTGCTCCTGGACATCACATACAATTGCTCACCTAATCTATTTGTTCTATTTGGGTAGAATGTTTAGAAGCACAGACAGGTTAGAAGACTTACATGTTTTTCTTCCTGAGATAGTGTGAGAGGAGGATGGGACATGGCAGAGGTTGAGAAATTGGGGATGGAGATATATATATATGATTAAGCCACTATGCAGTATATTTTGGATGGTAAATCACAGTTTGTATGCTGTGATGATGCTCAGAAAATAAATGTAAATTAATTAATTAATATAAAAAATGTTTCAGAAGAAAATTACAGTGCACTTGTAACTAGATTTTAGCTTTGTCCATATTTTTAGTTTAAGGTATTTTGTGAATCAATAAACTGTGGACTAAATAAATAAATAGAAAGAAAACCAATGAAATGCACAAAGTAGTTTTAATAATCAGTGAAAAAATTATGTTAGTTCTGTAACCTTTAAATGTTTGCTAAAAACTAAAATTGTTTTTACTTTTTATTGCAAATGTGTAATGGAAAAGAAAAGGATGGTAGAATATTGTAATTTAAAATGCTAAAAACGTTGAGCATTGATTTATAAAAAATATTTATTTCAAAGCTTAAAAATGTGTTCTATTCTGCAGAAAGATCTGAGTACTGATGTCAAGAATGTGCATTCTAAAGTTAGTGGATAGATATTCTTTCTCTAGTGCAATAGACAGTTTCTCTATTGCTGATGTAACAGATGTCTGTTAGGAGCCAATACTACCTGAAAACAAGCTATTATACTGGTGTAAGTTAAGCAGATCATTTAGAATTTTATTTTAAATAAAAATAAAATAGTAGACACATTAAAAAAAGAGTTCTTTTTTTTGCATTTTATAAAAACTGAAATAAATACAACCTACCTTATTGTTGAAGGGCATGCTGTACAACACACTTTCGTTATGGGAAGTTTCGTTACCTAGAATTACAAACTTTGTTAAATATCTCTGTGATCATTCACATATTTGATGATTTGATGATTTATTATTCAGCATTAAAAATATTATCCAAAGAGTAGAATGGGATGAAGAGAAAAATTTCTGAAGAAATATAAAAGGCAGGGGTCAGCAGATTGCATAATGGTTATGTCACTGGACTCCCACGTACTTGACCATGTTTTGAGTCCTGGATCCGGTGGCTTAAAACTCATGTCAGGTGCATGTATGTGTGTGCTCTCAGAGAATAGAAGAGAGGGGATTGGGGTGTGGCCATACCACCTGGGAGGTGATTTTTCATTTTCTTTCTCTTTGGCAAGCACACATGCCCTATAGCAAAAATTTATCTTTAAAAAGAAAAAGAAATATAAAAGACAGATGAAATGGCTCTCTTAGTACATACGTTCTTAATTTCTCCCCTTAATTTCTCCTTCCCAGGTGGACTGACTTGGGCAGGCTACTGAGGATTCACTTCGCGTTAGAAACTATCTTTCCAACACTTTGAGTAACAACCTCTACTTGATCGCATCTTCTCTTCCGCAGTCTCCAGGATTAGCCAACTACAAAGCACGCTTCACATGCCAACTTGTTCCTAGTTCTCCATTGGCCAATGCTACTGCTCCCCTTGCCTTGATCATGGGCTTCGATTTCCATCACAGCTACACTGCCTAGGCCCGTGGCTTCTCCATTCCTACAGTCAGGCTTTGGTCCAAGCTGTGGACAATTGTTTCTGGGATATTCAGCAGCTTCCCTTTACCCTCCCAGTGCTCAGAACACATTCCTGTTCCATCCCAAGTGACTCTCCAGTGGTACTCAAATTGCATTTGTTCTGTTAGTAACTCCACATATCCAGAATGGCCAGCTACCATTTTCAGAAATCCTTATTAGTCTTTATAGCAATTCCTCATGATAAAATTCTTATCTGTATGTGGGGCCAGTAGGTTAAGGCACTGGATTCCCATGTCACCAATCACAGTTTGAGTCCCAGACAGGTGGCTTGAAAATCATGTGGAGTGTGTGCATGTATATACACTCAAAACCCCAAGAGGAGAATGGAGGAGAAAGGACTGTGGCGTGGCTAATCCCCTCAGAAGGTCATTTTTCACTTTTGCTCTTTCTCTTGTCTATCTGCAGCAAGTACACACACCCTATTCCAAAACATTAAAACAAACAAACAAAAAAATAAATTCTTATCTATTGTAAGCATTACATGACAGGAAACTGAGGCCTACAGAGCTCAAATAACTTGCCAAGGGCACAACTAGTAGGCTGTGAACGGTCAGGGTGATCCGAGTTTGAAGCATGCGCATCTTTTACTATAGTGTGATGCCTCTACCACTGCTGTTCTAGAATCATCTCACACTGATTTTGGATGCCAAGTGGTTTTGCATATAAATATGAAGTGCATGCAAATTTTCACACTGATCTGCCTAATCACCTTAGGTTTATATTAATATTAAAATTGGTTTACTATGTACTTTGTTTAGTCTTAAATTCTTTAGTAAATAACAAGCACTTACCACTGGGATGGTGTACAATGGTGAGTTTATCTAGAAGACAAAAAGAAGACACTCTATTGAGCTTTCTTTAATTCAGTCTAATTCTCTTCTTTTTATTGTTTAACTACTTTTTGTCTTAAGGTAACTATGAAGTCTCACAATCTTATCTAAAAATACTAACCCCAAATTTATCTACCTCTGGATACTAAGTGTTAAATGATGTCTTTTATTGTTTTTGTCATTTTCCCTCCCAACTTGTCTTAAGGTATTATGATTTAGTTCAACAAAACTTGCTATTCTGTCTTGCTATTTCTTCGGGCAAGGCTAACAAGGCTACTCCTTTTTTTTTTCTTTTTTCTGAAATCAACATTACTCAAGGAAAACAGTATGATTCAAACAGTTTTGAATGTTTGTGGTTGTGACTTTTGACAAATCTATATATCTGCATATCCACCAATTAGGAGAGAAAACATTTTATTTACACAGAATATTCTCCATGCCCCTTATATCAATCCTCATCCAAACATTACTCATGGCAGTCCCTGTTCTGATTGCTATCTCTTCAGATTAGTTTTGTCTAGAATTCCAAATAAATGGAATTTCATAATATGTATTCTTTTGTGTCTTTCGCCAAGTATAATACCTGTGAAATTCATTTATATTGTCATGTATGCTAGGAGATATTCCTTTTTTTTTGCTGACTTATGTTCCACAGTATAAACATGCCATAGTATGTTCATAGATAGTGTGTATTGTGAAAAAAAATGCATAGATTGAAATTCTTTTGGCACTAAAATAAAACTCATATTTTCATTATGAATGTTATTCTCATAATCAATAGGTTCATTAGTTTCAGCTTAAATTCCGTTTTGTCTTCTTTCCCAGTCCCATCTTTGTTTACTGAATATGTGAAATATTAACAAAGTTCTAAAAGTCAGAACGATTTGAAGAGGAGTACTCAGAGATGTGGATTTTTTGAAAAATCAGTTTTGGTAACTTTTGTCTTTCAAGTAATTTACTCTTTTTATCTAAGTTGTTAAATGTATTGGTGGGTCAGCAGATGGTGTGGGGAATTAAGAAGGTTGAATCCCACATGACTGACTTCAAGGCTTATATCTCAGAAATGGCAGCTTGAAAAACACACTGGATACATATATGTGTGTGCCCCCAATCCCTTGAGGTGAAGGAATTGCAGCATGCCCATCCCTTTTATGGAACTCGTTCTCACTTTCCATCTCTCTCCTTCTGTTTCTCTCTGTCTCTGGTGAGCACACATGCCCTGTAGCAAAACAAACAAACAAACAAACAACCCCCCCCCCAAAAAAAAAAGTATTGGAAAAAAATTAGTTATATTTTCCTCATATTGTAAAAAATATCTGTAGGCTCTGTTGTGATTGCTCACTTGATTCCTCATATTGATAACTTTCGTTCCCCCTACTCTGGTCATTCTTCCTATGAGTTTATCAATTTTATTTATATTTTTAAATAACTAATTTTTTTTTTTGAGAGGTTTTTTCGCTATAGGGTGCGTGCGCTCGCCAGACAGAGAGAGACATAGAGACAGAAAGCGAGAAATCACCCCCCAGGGGGGATGGTCACGCCGCAATCCCTTCTCCTCCATTCTCCTCTCGGGATCTTGGGCACGTACGCACACGCGCCTGGCGTGAGTTTTAAGCCACCGGGTCCGGGACGCGAACCGCGGTCGACTACGTGGGAGTCCAGCGACATAGCCATTACGCTAACTGCTGGTTCCCACTAATTTTTGGTTTTGAAAAAAAATTTTCTCTTTTGGTTATCTCCTCTTTTACACCAATTTCTGATTTGATTTTAATTATTTCTTTTCTCTTGTCTCTTTTTGGATTTGGTTTGCTTTTCATTTTCTAGTTTCTCAAGGCGGGAACTTACCTCACTGGTTTTATTTAACATTATTGTCTTTTCTAATATTACAACTATAACCATAAGTTTCCTTCTAATTTAATTGTTAACTACATAACTTTTAGCTATATTTCACATATTCTGAATTTTTTTATAATTATAATTCGGGCTGAAAGATTTTCTTGTGATTTATTTGACTCATTCATTATTTTTGGGTTTTTGTATTTAATTTTTAGATATTTCAGGGTTTTCTAGATATCATAATTCTTAATTAATTTTAAATTTGTTTCTGTTGTGATAAGAGAATAAGAGAATTCAAAAGACCAAAATTTTTCAGAGATTATTTTCTGAAGATTCAAACTTTCAAAATTTATTAAACTTTCTTTGATGGTTCAACACATGTTCTAGCTTGCTCAAACATCCATGTACCTTTTTTTTTTTTCATGTACCTTTAATTAACATGTATTCTGAATTTTTTTGATGTCATGTTCTGTAAATGTCAATTGGGTCAGGTTAGTTAATAGTATTGGTTAAGTCCTTCATATCTTTACTGATTTTTGTCTATTCTTTTAGTTATTAAGAAAAAAGTGAAAACATCTCTGAGTATTGTAAGATTTTTGCTTCATGAGTTTTATAAAACTAACAAGGGCATATATAGTATAAAATGCACAAAGATTTGAATTGTATTTTTCTAGTGAACTGCTTTTTAAACATAATATAATATCCTTTTAAAATCTCTTATAATATTCTTTGTCTTGAAGTTTATCTTATGCCAATATAGTTATGTTAGCTTTCTTCCATTTTAGTTTATTTATGTATTTCCTTTGGTGGGGAAAGGGCATCTTAAAAGTGATTTTCCCAGCCCTGCAGCCAACCGGGATCATAGATGTGCCTGTGGTCATACCTGGCATGTTGAGGTTGACTCAGGATGTAGATCCAGAGCTATCCTACATGATTTCCAGCATTGCAGAGCAATGCCTCTCCTTCCTGACCACTGTAGCTAGGTTGACCATGTAGCCTTCTTATGCTTACTGTTGACATTGTGAACCTTTTACTTAACTTTCAAACTATCTAGGTCTTACATTTTAAATGTATGTCTATTATTTATTTACTTATTTATGTTTAAGGTTTTGACCACAAGACATATGGGCTTGCCAAACAGAGATAGAGACAATGAGAGGGAAAGTGAGAAATCATCCCCAGGAGGGATGACCATGCCACAATCCCTTCTCCATTCTTTTCCTGGAATTCTGGGCACACATGCACATGTGCTCCCAAAGCTGCTAGGTCTGGGTCTCAAACTGCAGTTGGACATGTGGGAGTCCAGCACCTTAACCACCATGGCACCCACTGGCCTCTAAAAATGCATGTCTTTAAACAGCATGAAGTTAGGTATTATTATTATTTTTTTATCTACTCTGAAAGTGTCTGTGTTTTAAATACTTAACTTACTTAAGTATTTCACTTACTTATTGTTAACACAACTATTGATATGGCTCAGTTTAACACCACTATCTTACTTTTGATTTTGTTGCTTATCTATTAGTGCTCCTCTTTTGCTATATTCCTGCTTTACTCTTTGTGACTTAGTTTTTTAATACTCTATTTTATTTCCTTTATAGGTTTCCTAGAAATACTTCTTTTATTTATTTAGGTTTTGTTTTAGTGGTTTCTTTATTACTTAAATATGTATCCTTAACATATCAGAGACTATTTTACCTCATGATGTATATCCCTTCATGGTTCATAGCTTACATCTGACACTTCATATTTTCTATTCTATCTTTTTCTTCTTACTTTATAACTGATTATTCTTCACACTTTCTACTTTACCATATAACATTTTTGCATACTTATAATTCCACTTATCTGTACCCTCTTTTTTGTGTGATAGTTTATATATCTTTTTTCTTCTTCATATTATATAACTCCCAACTTGTGTTATTATTTTTATTTTAAACATTTACCTTTGAAATAATTTGCAAGAAAAATGAAAACATAACGTCTTATACTTATCTGTTTTGTGTAACTTTTAGTGTTCTTTCCTCCTAAATGTGGATTTGAGTTTCTATTTGATAATATCTTCAGTGTGTATGACATGCTTTTGCATTTATTGTATTATAATTTTGCTATAAATTATCTAAGTTTTCTTATCTATAACTTTCTTTCAACCAAACTTTTTTTTTTTTTGAGAGGTTTTCGCTATAGGGGCGTGGGCTCGCCAGACTGACAGAGAGAGACATAGAGACAGAAAGCGAGAAATCACTCCCCAGAGGGGATAGTCACACCACAATCCCTTCTCCTCCATTCTCCTCTCAGGATCTTGGGCACACACGCACATGCGCCCAGTGTGAGTTTTAAGCCACCGGGTCCGGGATGTGAACCGTGGTCGACTACGTGGGAGTCCAGTGACATAGCCATTAGTCTAACTGCTGGTTTCCCAACCAAACTTTTAAAGGAGGGATATTTTCTCTGGATATAGAATTCTAAGTGGTCATTATTTTTTTCTTGTAACACTTTAAAGATGTTATTGCATTATCTTTAGCCTTCCACTGTTTCTGATAAGAAATTAGTGAATATTCTTATCCTTCTTCCTCTATGTGAAATGAGTCTTTTTTTCTTGCTGCTTTTAAAAAAATTATAATTTTTAAAATTTTATACATTCCATCACTACGTATCACTATAGCTTGTAAAGTGAATTTACCCAATATGAATACACTTCACACCAGTCCAGTTGAAGATACCATACATGTTATCATCAACAGATAATCTTTCATGTGTGTGTTCTTACTGCTTTTAAGACTTTCTCTTCACCTTGTCTTGAAGTAGTTTGACCATAAGTTGTCTAGATGTTGTTCTTTTAAGAATTAGGCCAACTGAGGGTTTTGTTGTGTGTGTTTTTGTTTTGTTTTATTTTTTTCTTAGCTTTTGGAACTGCATAGAGGTAGTTTTCATTAAGTTTGGCAAGTTTTTGGTCATTATTTATTTAAAAATGTTTTATTCCAAATTCACTTTTTTCTCCCTGTCGGTCTCTATTTATATGTATGCTAGATTGAGTTATATTGTCCTATATTCCCCTAGGACTCTGTACATTTTCAAAGTATTTCTGTCTCCCTGTTCCTTACAGCAGATAAATTTGATTGATTTGTCTTCAAGTTCATTAACTCTTACTTTGCTATATCCAAACTGCTAATAAGCTCATCTGATACATTATAACATTTCCTTTATTGTAATTTTATTTTTTATGATTTCTATTTGCTTCTTTTTTATTGTTTTAATTTTTCTGCTGAGATACCCTTACTCACTCTTTAAAACCATATTCTTAAAAATTAATTTGGTATGTTTATAAGAGCTGCTTTAAAGTCTTCGCTAAGATCCATACCATCTCAGGTTCAGTTTTTGTTGATGGCTTTCTTTTTCTTCACTATAGATTATCTTCTTCTATTTCTTTGTATGTTTTCTTCATTTTTGCAGTTTGAATACTGGAAAATCTAGATAATCTGTTATATATCCTGGAATTTGTAAAAGTCCTCTGATGAGTCTCATTTTAGCAGGCAGTTCAACTACTGACAAGAACTTGTAGAGGCTCAACTTTGTTCTTTGTTTGGTGTTGATCTGTAGAAAGCCCAAGGTGTTCTGAGGTCCTTGATGGAGCTCAGCCTACAAACTCTGTCTCCGGTGTGGATCTTATAAGAGCATGATTTAGGCTTTGTCAGGGCAGGAGTAGACTAGATCCTTTTATTCTGTTTCTTGTGTCTGGAATTATAGTCTCCAATGCCTATTGTCCACATGCTGAAATCAGCTGCTTCATGTTTGTGTCATTTTAATTAGTGTTCTGTACAACGGCAAGGTTTGTTTTGTACTCTTTATCCCATTGTGCCTGAAAGGAGAGCTAATTGATTCTTAATCAAGAGACCAATGATTAAAGGCACTGATTTTGGCTTAAAACAGAAAGTGGATTATAGTTTCTAATCCATGAGTCCTTGGATGTTTCAGTTCCTCAGAGATTCCATTTCCTTATTTGTAAACTGGGACTAATGTATCTTGTAAGGTTATTATAAAAGTGTATAGTAGGTCCTCAGGAAATGTTAACTACTACTACTTAATGAAATCACCTATATAATCTGTAATTTTATAAATTGATAAAATTTTAATCTTTTTCTACATTAGAATGGAGGTCTGGTGAACATAGCTACTTACTTATACCCTTAATTATATTAGAAAGTATATTTATGTTTTAGAAAACATTTCTAAGAGAGATTAAAGGAATTCTTTATAGAAAAGTAAATAATAGCTGAATAAAATGAAGAGAAATGAATTTCAACACGGTGATTTTCAACATGAAGCACTAGCTAAAGCTATATAATATTACTGAAGATAGAAGAAAGAAGCTCAAGGTTTTTAGTGGTTCATTGTTTATAAATATCTGCACGGGGAGTAGAGACTTGGGTAAAGAGTAGTGAGATAGTGAAAATGTAACCTATTTTCAAATTTCTTTTTTTTTTTTTTGTAACGGATCATCTATAATTTCTTTGTGTGACAAGTGCACTGTAATTTTTTTCTGAAATATTTTAAAAAATTAAATAATTTACATTCATTCCCTGAGCATTGTCACAGCATACAAAATGAGATTTCCCATCCAGAATATACTGCATAGTGGCTTAATCATACATGTTGTCATCAATAATTTTCCATTTCTAGTTCATATATATATATGTGTGTGTGTATACATACACACACATTACCCCATTTGTCACCCTCTGCCATTTCCCACCCTCCTCCCACACTATCTCAGGTGTCTACAGTTGTTTTCCATTCCTTTCCCCCCCACATTTTATTGATTCACAAAATTTCTTAACTAATCTAACTACTTTCAATTGCAAGTTCAGCTGGTATATACATATCTGTAAATACATGTCTGACTTTAGGTGTGAAACTCTGAGTAGAATGAATACACTATAAGGTAGCACCTAGCTGATGCTATATAGCTTACTACAGTCATTAAATAGGCATTTTAAAATATATCTTTTAATTTCAAGAAAAGCAATTTTAGCTTTAATAAATCCAAAAATGTTAAGGAAATTTGCTTAAAACTAAAAGCCAGGAAACAGGTTAGGACTCTGTTCAAATAGTAGGTACATGAACCTATTCACAGCTTAAGACAGGACAAAAATCCTTAAAACCAGAAAACAAAGCCTAAAAGAAAATCAGCAATGTTTTAGTCAAAAGTCATAAAATTCTCTCTCACCAGTTCAGTCTCATGTACTTAATCTATGTTCTGTTGTGGTTTGATCTTCCCAATTAAATTCTGGGATATAATATTCAACTCCAGACTTGTCCCTATGAGTAAGTGGGCCATTCTTTGAACTCTTATTTCTGTGTGTCTGTCTTTAATTTTCCTGGTATAAGCACTCTCTTGAGAACTTCTTGGAGATCTGGTCTGGTGTTGGTAAATCCTTTCAGGTTTTGTTCATCTGAGAATATTCTTATCTTTTCTTCCCATATGAAGGATAATCTTGCTGGGTATAGTATTCAGATGAAGGACTGCTATTTTCAAATTTCTAATGTGCTATTTGATCTTTGGAGAGTTACTATTTTAGAGCTTAGTCTGCACTAATGTCAAGTGCTGAAGCCCCCCCCCCACCCCAAACCCACGCACATGCCCCTGCCCCAAGAACTATAACAATTCTTGGAAATTTAAAATGATCCATATGTGGACAATTGTGAGAACTGACTATATTTAGAATACTCTACCTTATTAAAAAAGATATGACCCCTAAGTTTTTGAGTCCCTGTATAATGGAAGTGATAAGGGGTAGATTTGAACTCAGGCCTGCTCAATGCCACAGGCTCTGCACCTTCTACTTTATCACCTATCATTTTATAAATAGACTTTTTTGAATTTTACTTACCATAGACATTCTCTTCTTCTGGCCTTTTCCCAATAATGCAATCTCGTAGCTGTCGTAGTTTTTCCTTAACGAGGAAGCAACCAGGACAAAGAAGGCATGATTTACGAAGTTTTCATTGATCCAGATGAAAACATCAACTACTATAACTAGTACCAACACAGCTTAGTAGCAGTTTCCTACTTAAATGTGCCAACTGCCATTCTTGCATGTATAATCTTATTTAATTCTCACAATTTCATAAAGTGGATGAATATAAATATGCAAACAAAATAGAACTAACCAAGGGTTTAATGAAACAACTAATGACAGCATTTCTAACAAGATACCTAGGTTGTATTACTCTAAATCAAAAAATTTAGGGCCAACCTGTGGCCTGGTAGTTAAGGCCTCTGGATTCCACATGTTTAACAACATAGTTTGAGTCCAAAAGCCAGCAGCTTGAGAGACACGCCAGACACATGTAAGTGCAAGCTCACATCCTAAAGGAGGGAGAGATGGGGGGAGGGGTTGTGACATCACCCTGCCACATGTTTTCTTGCTCTCTCTTTCTCTCTCTCTCTCTCCGGCAAGTGGATGCGCCTTCTGGGAAAAAATTAAAATAAAACAAAACAAGACAAAACAAAACTGTCCTTATTTAAGGGTTTGAGGATGAAGTACAATTGACTGACTTCAAGCAAACCTGTGTAACCTAGCACTGCTAGAAAAGGAATTTTGAGGCTTGCACTTGAGCACATTCCCCTCCGTTTCTGGGTGAAGGGGATGATTACTAGTGATGGCACTGGCATGGTGTGAGAAGCAGTGCTGTCATTCTGGCCTTGAATGATGAGCACCTGCAGAACTCTTCAGTCCGCATTGTTTGGCATCTGTTTGGCAGAAAACTGCTTTGCTTTATGCTGCAAAGCCTGGGCCCTGTCCAGTCAGCAGCCCACAACCGGACCTGCCCTTAGAGCCAGGTGGTTTCCGACATGTGCGATCTCGGACATCCTGGGAAAGTCTCCTTGGCCATCTCTCACCTAAATGCCACATTGCCGCAATTTTACCACTGTGATTCAATTATCTATTGTCCAGAAATTATCTTCCTAATCATTGTCTTTTAAATAAAAATCATATTTTGGGAAAGGCAGCATATTAAAATGTTATTACTTATTTATACTTTGGCCTAAAGTAGTTTATTAAATGCATTTAATCCAACAGGTACCTGAGAACTGTGTTCTGAGACAGTAAGGCTTTTTGTGATGGAAAGAAAATGACTGTTGGAATGTTCTGGAAGTGGGAAGGTCTGGGATATGATAGAATAAGGCCCTGACACCCCACTGAAGAATGCCAAGGGGCATAGGTGGTATGTTCTCTTTTCCTTCTTATCTCAGAACCAACTCCTCCAGTCATCTCTCAGGATTAAATTACTGGGTTGCCAGGAAAATCATGATGCATTTTTGCATAGAAAAACATGAAAAGTATGTCATGACATTCCCGACAACCTAATAGTTTACAGAAGAGAAAATTATCCAAAGTTAACATGTAGTTAAGATTCCTGGCATTTCTTTTTAAGCCCTGATTGACCTACCTATATATCTATATCTATATTTGTATATCAGTTATATTTACTTATGATTCTATTTTTCCCTCAAAGATTAAGGAGAAAGAAAATAAAAATTTATTTCATTTAAGATTGTTGCTTGATGTAATTTCAATATTTTTCTTGTTCTCTTTAAACTTAGTCTACAAAATATTCTTCAGAAAGCTGAGTACATGTTAGTGGAAAGGTGATTCATACTAATTCAGCCATTAGATTAAAATCCTTCACTATACTAAGGACAGCTATTATAAGCTGATTAGGTTCTAGCTTAGATTCACTGAGTCCCAGGACTGAGTTCAGCAATGCCCAGTAAATGCAAAACCGGAATTTCCAATCTGTTGATTGTCTGCAAAATCCTTCTCAGTGGCCAGTTAAAGACTCGTCCAGGAGCTTCTCCTTGAGGGAGTATTTCAGAGCTATGGGGTCAGAATTACCTGCTGATCGATTTCCAGGCCACTCTGTCCCATCTGCCAGTGTTTAAATTTCTCCAGGGCTTCATCCACAGACATTTTCCCATTCTTGACTTTTTCCTGCAGGAGGATGAGTTCTTCTTGCCCGGCAGCCAGGCAGCCCCTCAGCGTGGAAAAGGCCGGACTCTCGATCCGAGCTCTGTCTACAATGTGAATGGGGGAGGGGTTATAACAAGAAGCCAACACGTGAGAAACTAGGGAAGAGAGGGCCCTGAAAAGTTGGCCATGGGAAATCCTGGTTCTTACTATCCACGAGCACCGATGGAATAAGCCAGTACCGAGATTTTTGTGAGTTTCTTTCTAGAGATGGTGGTGCCTGGTACCCGGTGTTAGGTAAAAAGAACGTCTCATCACTGCCAACATGAAAGGACAAGGAGAGAAAGAACAGTGGCAAAGGCTCTCTTGCCCTAGTTGTGGGCAGGGCCAAAATCATATTTTTTTTTTGGAGGATCAGAAGAGACCACGTGCAGAGTAAGTGGAATAAATGCTAACGTTATTATTAATCACGAATATACGTAGAATAAACAACCTCTTTAACTCTGGAAAAAGAAATCTCAGCCAATCTCCAAATGTTGCAAGAGGCTTAGGATCACTTGAAGACGCATTCCTGAAAGATCTAAAGTACGTAATGGCTCATTGTGTAGTGACAGGCTTCCTTTTCAAAAGAGGTTGTTTGGGGTATGTCACGCCTTTGGTCAACACATGCAAATATTAGAGGGTTCTCAACCACTGTGGTGCCAGCAGGGGGCACCATGGTGTGGAGGCTGAGGCCACACGGGAGCCCCAGGCTTGGTTGTGGCCTAATTAAATTACTGGGTTGCCAGGAAAATCATGATGCATTTTTGCATAGAAAAACATGAAAAGTATGTCATGACATTCCCGACAACCTAATAGTTTACAGAAGAGAAAATTATCCAAAGTTAACATGTAGTTAAGATTCCTGGCATTTCTTTTTAAGCCCTGATTGACCTACCTATATATCTATATCTATATTTGTATATCAGTTATATTTACTTATGATTCTATTTTTCCCTCAAAGATTAAGGAGAAAGAAAATAAAAATTTATTTCATTTAAGATTGTTGCTTGATGTAATTTCAATATTTTTCTTGTTCTCTTTAAACTTAGTCTACAAAATATTCTTCAGAAAGCTGAGTACATGTTAGTGGAAAGGTGATTCATACTAATTCAGCCATTAGATTAAAATCCTTCACTATACTAAGGACAGCTATTATAAGCTGATTAGGTTCTAGCTTAGATTCACTGAGTCCCAGGACTGAGTTCAGCAATGCCCAGTAAATGCAAAACCGGAATTTCCAATCTGTTGATTGTCTGCAAAATCCTTCTCAGTGGCCAGTTAAAGACTCGTCCAGGAGCTTCTCCTTGAGGGAGTATTTCAGAGCTATGGGGTCAGAATTACCTGCTGATCGATTTCCAGGCCACTCTGTCCCATCTGCCAGTGTTTAAATTTCTCCAGGGCTTCATCCACAGACATTTTCCCATTCTTGACTTTTTCCTGCAGGAGGATGAGTTCTTCTTGCCCGGCAGCCAGGCAGCCCCTCAGCGTGGAAAAGGCCGGACTCTCGATCCGAGCTCTGTCTACAATGTGAATGGGGGAGGGGTTATAACAAGAAGCCAACACGTGAGAAACTAGGGAAGAGAGGGCCCTGAAAAGTTGGCCATGGGAAATCCTGGTTCTTACTATCCACGAGCACCGATGGAATAAGCCAGTACCGAGATTTTTGTGAGTTTCTTTCTAGAGATGGTGGTGCCTGGTACCCGGTGTTAGGTAAAAAGAACGTCTCATCACTGCCAACATGAAAGGACAAGGAGAGAAAGAACAGTGGCAAAGGCTCTCTTGCCCTAGTTGTGGGCAGGGCCAAAATCATATTTTTTTTTTGGAGGATCAGAAGAGACCACGTGCAGAGTAAGTGGAATAAATGCTAACGTTATTATTAATCACGAATATACGTAGAATAAACAACCTCTTTAACTCTGGAAAAAGAAATCTCAGCCAATCTCCAAATGTTGCAAGAGGCTTAGGATCACTTGAAGACGCATTCCTGAAAGATCTAAAGTACGTAATGGCTCATTGTGTAGTGACAGGCTTCCTTTTCAAAAGAGGTTGTTTGGGGTATGTCACGCCTTTGGTCAACACATGCAAATATTAGAGGGTTCTCAACCACTGTGGTGCCAGCAGGGGGCACCATGGTGTGGAGGCTGAGGCCACACGGGAGCCCCAGGCTTGGTTGTGGCCTAACCTGAACAGGCTGGGCATGGTGGTGTGGGTCTGTGGTCCTGGTTAGTTGGGAGCCTGGGGCAGGAGGATCTCAAATGATGTAACCCAGTCAAAATACCTCTTTCTCTCTCTTTCAAAAAAATAAGAAAAAGAAGAAGAATATTAGAAGAATATCTGTTTCTCCTTTCTAACAAGTGGCTGACATATCAAGACACTGGCCCCAGGGCACAGTGGCAGCAACCTGGACCAATTTTGTTTTGTGTCCCTCGTGCTGTTGGGAGATACAAATGCCCTGCATGCCTTTAGGGACAGCAAGTGGTCTCCAGGTTACCGCAGTCCCTGCCACTCCTACAGGTGCTGGCGACACTTGCTGAGCTCCTCGCTGGCTGCAGAAGGCGGGAGTTTGTACCTGCTCATTTGTATACTCGCAAGTCCCAACGCCCAGGGTGCATCCCAGCAGGGCAGGCTAATGGCAGCAGCACGTGTTAATGCACCGTCACGTCTCAACATGCCCTCAGAGCCCGGAAGCAGGAAACACCTAGTTCTGCCCGACCACACTAACAGCTGTCCCTGGGGAAGGGTGCTCATTACAGGGAGACCGTCTTCAACAAAGGAAGAGCTCAACTAGTGGGTCTGTATGTAGACCATGGTGCCATATTGACAAGGCTTTGCAAAATGAGGGGCGTTTACATCCTGTAGTGATAGGATTTGTTGCAAGAACCAGGATTGATTTTTCTGGAAATGAAAAGTTTCAAATATTTGATAGTAGCTTTTAAGTATCTAAAGGGGACTTGAACCTCAGAGTGATCCTGAAGTGGCTGCTCATGCCCCTCTCTGTGGTGAGGATTTGGTCAATGGATCTTGGAACAGGAACAGGGAGAGGGTTCCTTTCCAGAAAGAGTCCTGGGCACTGAAACTGTTCCCTGGGCGATCTTTCGGATTCCCACGGGGCATTGTTGCCTTTTCCTTTAGAAGTCGATTCCCCCAGAGCTAACAAGATGTCAACAGATTCTGAACTATTAATATAAACCCTCCTGGAGGGCTGACGGAGCCTGAAGAAAGTCCCAGAGGAACAGAAGCACAAGTCAGCCGGAGGGCTAACAGGGCCTATAGCAAAATGCACGGGTAACAGTTGAGATCTTGCTTTTCATGCATTTGCTGTTCACAGGCCTCCCCACCCAAACGCAATTTGTGCAGTGCAGTTGGTGGTTGGATGGCTGGTGCCAACCCGCCAGGTGTGCAGGCTCAGTGCCATCATGTAACGCCTATGCACCTAACTCAGGTGTGCAGGCTCAGGGCCGTCATGTAACGCCTATGCATATAACTCAGGTGTGCAGGCTCAGTGCCATCACGTAACGCCTACGCGCCTAACTCAGGTGTGCAGGCTCAGTGCCGTCATGTAACGCCTATGCATGTAACTCAGGTGTGCAGGCTCAGTGCCGTCACGTAACGCCTATGCGTGTAACTCAGGTGTGCAGGCTCAGTTCCGTCACGTAACGCCTATGCATGTAACTCAGTGTGCAGGCTCAGTGCCGTCACGTAACACCTATGCATGTAACTCAGTGTGCAGGCTCAGTGCTGTCACGTAACACCTATGCATGTAACTCAGTGTGCAGGCTCAACACCGTCATGTAACACCTACACATGTAATTTGATGTGCAGACTCAACACTGTCATGTAACACCTACGCGCGTAACTCAGTGTTCAGGTTCAGTGCCGTCACGTAACTCCTATGTGCGTCACTCCCTCCCCACTTCCGCTGTCCCTGTGCCTAAGTGTGAGTCCATTTTTATCTCAAGCAACCCAGACAGCTGGATTTTCTGCTTCTTGTAGAAATTTTTTTTTTTCCTTGAGTTATCTCAAGGAAAGTCTTCCCAGAAATCCCTACCTGGTTCAGTTTTGCTGTAGACACTGAACACAGCCAATTAGTCCAAGTAAAAAAAAAAAAAAAAAAAAGCCAAATCCTTTTTCTTACAATCATCTCCATATTTCAAACTGTAACTCTTACAATATGCCTAGGACTTCTGCAGAGAGGTGCTGTTTAGCCTGATTGTGGCAGGAGAGCACAAGAACAGAAGTTAGGGCAGTCTGGTCTTAGCCATCCAGTTCTGAAAACGAGTTGTTAACAACGAGATCAATTTTGCATACGTCTGCTTTTACTTATATTTCTCCCCATACCAAAGAGATTAGAGTATTTGTCTTAATACCTTATGATCAGGCAGGACAAGCTGCAAAGAAAAATGACTCGGGCATTCAACTACCTTTTACCTAGGGGCAGAACTCGAACTAAAACATGCAGCTTGTGATTTCCGGAAGGGCTTGCAAGGTTGCATCTACGCTTTAGATTATTCTGCGGTGGGGGAGGGGTGGCGCTGGGAAGTTTTCCTTCCTCTCCGATTTTACATTTGTTTTTAGCTTTACTTTCAGAAGAGTTTAAGTTTAACATAATTTTCATTGGGAAACATTTGTCAGACTGCTAATTGTACATATTGTAGACTCTTGATCCCTTCATGTAAAACTTCGAGAAGAACTATGGTTTCTAAAGATTTAGTTCCTTTGGGATCGATTTCTTTTTAAGAAATAATTATTTTAAATTTAAATTTAATTTATTATTATTTATTTTGCTATAGGGCCTGTGCACTCATGAGAAAGACAGAGAAAGAAAGTGAGAAAGGAAGCTGCCAGGTCCAGGACTAGAACCATTTCAGCCATGTAGGAGTCCAGTGCCTTAACCACCATGCCACCTGCTGGCCCACCAACATTAACTTTTAAGTATAAAAGCTGTATACACAGGGTCAGCAGGTGATGAGGTGATTAAGGCTATGGATCCCACATGGGCAACTGTGGTTCGAGGCCCAGACCCGGTGGCTTGGATATCACTTTGGGAGTGTGTGTATGTGTGCCCAAAATCCCTAGAGAAGAATGAAGAGAGGATTATGGCTTGGCCATCCACTGTGGGGACTGATTTTTTACTTCCTCTCTTTGTCACTCTCTCTCTCTCCCTGGTGAATGTGTGTACACTGTGGCAAAAAGCCAAAAAAGAAAATTTGTGTACACAATAAAGGATGGAAGGGAAATTTTAAAGATAAGTTGTTTTATTGCTATATCAGGAGTCATTTTCTTCTGATCGCCCCCTTTCTGTAATGTTAATATATTGTTTTATGATAAAAATAGTCTCCCATCTTACTAACAGGCTTTCTCATAGAAACCATACCATTCCGATCTGTGCAAGACAGACCATCCTGTACTAACAGTGCCGTGTCGTGCCACGCCATACTCCAAATTTTATGGAAGTTGGAAAGGACTTCTCAGTAAAGAACTACAACTGGGATTTAGATCTGAAGTTACTCTTCACTGCTTAGCGTGGAGATTGGTAGCTAAATAAGGTTAGCTTCACAGGGTCAAGTCAGAAGGTGCTTAACCTATTGACTTATTTGTAAATCCCAAGTAAGGCTTCCATATAACCTAACTTTAGGGCTCGCATGTTCTTTGCTGTTTCATTTTATTTGTTGTTTTTAGAATACAAAATGTTTGTCCTCACTACTTAGCAAATAGAGAACTAAAAACAAAATGAGTATCACTCACGATCCTCAGAAATTTACATCTTGGCATTTCTCCTTTTTTTGTGTCTATTTATTTCACCTTTTTTTTTTCTTTCTGGAGTCCTGTTTTAAATAACCAGTTCCCTTTAAAAAGGAAAACGGGAACCAGCAGTTAGCGTAACGGCTATGTCGCTGGACTACCACGTAGTCGACCGCAGTTCGTGTCCCGGACCCGGTGGCTTAAAACTCACGCCGGGCGCGTGTGCGTGCGTGACCAAGATCCCGAGAGCAGAATGGAGGAGAAGGGATTGTGGCGTGACCATCCCCCCTGGGGGGGGATTTCTCGCTTTCTGTCTCTATGTCTCTCTCTGTCTGGCGAACGCACGTGCCCAATAGCGAAAATCTCTCCAAAAAAACAAAACAAAACAAAAAAACAAAAAAAAAAAAGGAAAACAGGATGTGCCTTACCAGATAGCTCTGAGCATGGAAAGTCATTGTCATGGCAGCACGGGGCCCGGTGCCCGCTGGCTTCCATGGCAGATCCTCCGGTGTCAGGCTGTTATAACTGTATGTATTTATTGCCGCGGCTGCTGCTCCTGTCTTATATATAATCTTGTTTTGTAAAATTTATTTTCTTTTTGCCTTTAATTTTTTTAAATTTTGCTTGGGCCAGTTGGGGGTATGGTGAGTGAGGAGGCTAAACCCCACATGGCTGACCGCACAGTTCAAGCCCTGGGGTTGGCAGCTTGAAAAATGTGCTGGGCACATATGCACGTGTGCCAAAAATTTGAGAAGAAAATGGAGGAGAAGGGATGGCA